TACGAAATGTGCTGTGATTGGTTAGCTGGGCCAGTGTGTGTTGTAATTGGCTCCTCTCGACGCCTGGTCGGGAAATGTCATGCCCTTTACCATAGCCACCTGCGAGTAAATATTGTCAATATCAAATCAATTTGAGCGCGATTTAAACCCGGATGATTGTAACCGCTCTAAGTTCGTCTGCCTTGGGAAAGCTAGCGTGTCTCCGACATAGTGATAACACTCATTGCCTTCTCTAGTGCAGCTCAACCAGGTCTCGTCCCATTCGTCGGTATTTGTGATATCACAAATCCCGGAAAATATGCGTTGTAGTCCAAACGAGTCATTCGTTGTAGTTTTTGAAAAGTGATTTCTGTTAAATAAAATATCTCTTTTTGAATTGGACTTTGAACTTTGTAACTTTGCAGATCTGTTTTATGCTCAAACAGCAACATTACAGACTAACTAAAGTTGAAAAAGTGAAAAAGTATAATAGGACCCCTTTAATTTATCAGAATACAGAAAGTACACAAGGTTTTTAAATAATTTTGCTGCAGACTCTTTTTAATAGGCTTATGTAATTATTTATAGTCCTATTAATTTTTATGTAAATTAGGTATGTGATGGTATCAAATTTTCGTTGTCGCTGAAGCTTTTGTCACATTATATCGTTTTTATCACAATAGCCTATATAATGAAGTAAAAAAAAAAAAGTGTTGTCCTCTTAACAGGTTAAACAACTTTAATAAAGATATTTTACTAAAGAAACACTTTAAACAAATACACAAACATATAAAGTAAATATCTATAAATATAAATATCTATATGACTGTTTGAAACATTTACACAGTTCAGAAAGTAGCAGCTGCTTTGTTTACAAGGTTACCGGGGTAACGGCTGCATATCCGCCTCCGTCAGCTCCCTCTGGTGCCGAATCTGCATTGTCATTCAGCGTGTCTCCTTGACTCGCTCCGCCTTTCTTCTCATCTGTGCTCATTTGAATTAAATTGTTGCCTTTTTAAAGTTAAATAATCATATGAGGCTGTATCGCTGTTTTTCCATAAATAAATTTAAATAAATGAATGAATAAATGTGGACATTCAACCGAGACTGCCTTGCTCTCAGTTGTTGAAGCCCTAAGACTGGCTAGAGCGGATTCCAAATCTTCAATACTTATCTTGCTGGATCTGTACGCTGCTTTTGACACGGTTAACCACCAGATCGTCCTGTCAACCCTATTGGCAAAGGGCATCTCAGGAACCGCACTCCAGTGGTTTGAGTCTTACCTCTCAGATAGGCCCTTCAAGGTATCTTGGAGAGGTGAGGTGTTCAAGTCGCAACATCTAACTACTGGGGTGCCTCAGGGCTCAGTTCTTGGACCACTTCTCTTCTGTCTACATGGCATCACTAGGTTCTGTCATTCAGAAACATGGCTTTTCATATCACTGATCACTGCTATGCTGAT